AAAATTATAAGATAATAAGTCAAAATGACTAAAATGCCAAAAATAGTGGGTAAGAGATCAACGAACCGTAAATTTTGGCCCTCACGAAATTATTTTACACTTGGTCAATTTGACAAAAATTACCAAAAATTATGAGCTATAACTCATGAAATCGTGAATTTTGGCCTCTGTGAAATTATTTGACAACGGATCAGGACAACTAGAAATGGTCAAAATCACGGGTTATATATAGCTCACGCAATCATGAATTTTAACCTCCGTAAAATTATTTGCTAATGAGTTAAAATGACTAAAATTGCTAAAAAAAAGGAGTTATAGCTCATAAAATCATGAAGTTTTGACTCCAAAAATTATTTACCAAGTGTTTAAAATAACAAATAATATCCACTAATCGTGAGTTATAACTCATGAAATCATGAATTTTGACCACCCATGAAATTATTTGTCAATGGGTCGAAACAAGAAAAAATGGCTGAAAATAGTATGTATAGCTTAAAAAATCGTAAATTTTAGCCTCTATGAAATTAGTTATCAGTGGTTTGAAATGACTAAAAATGTCCAATAAACATGGATTACAACTAATAAAATCGTGAATTTTAGCCTCTGTGAAATTATTTATCAACCAATCTAAATAACTATAAAGGTCAAATATCGTCAGCTGTAGCTCTTATTTGTCAATGTATCGAAACAACTAAAAATGGTCAAAAACCATGTGTTATCTTGCATGAAATCATGAAGGGACTCCGCAAATAATCTACCAATGATTTGAAATAGCTTAAAATATCCAAAAATCATAAGTTATTGCTCATGAAATTTAACTTTTGTCCTCTACAAAATTAAATGCCAATGGGTCAAAACGACTAAAAATTGGCAAAAATCATGGGTTATTGTTCATAAAATCGTGAAGTTTGTACTTCCCAAAATTATGTACCAATGCTTTGAACTGACTAAAAATACCCAATAATTATTGGTTATACCTTTTAAAATCGTAAATTTTGGCTATCCACAAAATTATCTGCATAAAGGTCGAAATAACTAAAAAAAGGCCAAAAATCGTGGGTTATAACTTCTTGAAATCATGAACTTCATCCTTCGTGAAATTATTTGCCAATAGGTTAAAATGACTAATAATTGCCAAAAATCGTGAGTTATATCTCACAAAATCATGAATTTTATCCACTTCGAAATTATTTGACAACAGATCGAAATATCTAAAAAGGCCAAAATTTATAGGTAATAGCTTATAAAATCGTAAATTTTAACCTCCGTGGAATTATTTGGCGATGGGTCAAAACAATTATAAATGGTCATAAATCATGGATCATAGCTCATGAAATCGTGAATTTTTTTCCTCTTTACTTGATAATGGGTTGAAACGACTAAAAATGGGCGAAATCATGGGTTGTTGCTAATAAAACTTTAAAGTTTAGACTCTGCAAAATTATTGACCAAGGGTTTGAAACGACTATAAATATCCAAGAAACGTTAGTTCATGCAATCGTGAATTTCAGCATCCGTAAAAGTATTTGCCAATGGGTGAAAATGACTAAAGATTGTGAAAAATCATGGGTTACAACTCACAAAATCATGAATTTTCTCTTTTATGAAATTATTTGCCAACGGACCGAAACAACCAAAAAGGCCAAAAATCATAAGATATTGCTCATGAAATAGTGAATTTTGGCCTCCACAAAATAATTTATCAACGGCTTAAAATGACTAAAAATAGCCAAATATAGTGGGTTGGCTCCCGAAATCATGAAGTTTGGATTCCTCAAATTTTTTTCGCCAATGGATCGAAACTACTAAAAATTGCCAAAAACATAGGTATAGCTCATGAATCATGAAATTTGAACCGCACAAAAATGTTTATTAATAGTTTGCAATGACTAAAAATATCGAATAATCATTAATTATAGCACATGAAACCATGTCAGGACACCACAAAATTACTAATCAATGAGTTGAAATGACTAAAAATAATAAAAATTTGTGGGTTATAACCCATAAAATTATGAATTTGGTCACCATGAAATTATTTGCTAATGGATCGAAATGACTAAAAATGACCAAAAATTATTGGTTATTGCTCATGAAATTGTGAAGGTTGGACTTGACAAATTATTTACCAAGAGTTCACAATGACTAAAAATGTCCAATAATTGTTCACTTGCTCATAAAATCGTGAATTTGTTCATCCACCAACTTATTTTTTGGTGGTCAAAATGAATAAAAAATTTGACCAAGGTGAAATTATTTGACAATGCATCAAAATGACTAAAAATTACCAAAAAATCGGAGACATCAACCTACAAAATCTTGAATTTTGGTCTTCGCGGTATTATTTGCTAATAGGAAAAAATGATCACAAATGGCCAAAAATTGAAAACTATAATTTATAAATCGTGAATTTTGACCTCTGTGAAATTAGTTACTATCAGGTCAAAATGACAAAAAGGTAATAATTATGGGGTTATAGCTCATGAAATCGTGAATTATAGCCTCCGTAAAATTGTTTAACAATAAACCGAAACAACTAAAATTGTCCAATGATCGTGGGATATAGCTCATAAAATCGTGAATTTTAACCTCCACTAAAATCATTTGCCAATAGATCGAGATGACTAAAAATGGACAAAGATCGTGAATTATAGCTCACAAAATTATGAATTTTAAAATTACTTGATAACGGGTCAAAATGACTAGAAAAGACCAAAAATCATGAGTAATAGCTCATAGAATCGTGAATTTGGTCTTAACAAAATTACTTAATAACGGGTCAAAACAATTAAAAAATGGCCAAAACCATGAGTTTAGCTCATAAAATCGTGAATTTTAATCTCCGCAAATTTATTTACTAACTGATCAAAACGACTATACATGGCCTAAAATTGTGGGTTAGCTCACAAAATAGTGAATGTGGGTCACCACAAAATTATTTCATAACATGCCAAAATGACTAAAAATTACCAAAAATTGTGGGTAAGAGCTCATGAAATCTTGAATATTAGCATCCACGATATAATTTGCTAACTGAATGAAGCGACTAAAAATAGCCAAAAAATAGATATTTAATGAAATCGTGAATTTTAGCATCCGCAATATTATTTACCAATGAGTCGAAACGACTAAAATTGGCCAAAAATATTAGGCTTATAACTCACAAAATATTAAATTTTGACCTCCACAAAATTATTTGTCAGCAAGTTGAAAGGACTAAAGATGGCTAAAAATCGTAGATTGCATCTTATAAAATCATGAATTTGGGACTCCATAAAATTATTTACTAATGATTCGATACAATTAAAAATGGCAAAAAATCATAGATTATAGCTCATGAAATCGTAATTTTTAGCCTCTGAAAATTATTTATCAATGAATGGAAAAGAAAAAATTATCAAAAATTAAAGATTATAGCTCACAAAATCGTGAATTTTTGACTTTTATGAAATTATTTGCCAACGTGCGGAAACGACTAAAAAGGCCAAAAATCATGGGATATTGCTCATGAAAGCACAAATTTTAGCCTCCGTAATATTATTTGCTAAAAGGTCAAAATGACTAAAATGATCAAAAATCGTGTTATTGCTCCCAAGATCATAAAATTTTGCCTTCATGAAATTATTTGCTATGGATCAAAACAACTAAAAATGGTTAAAATTACGGGTTATAAACATCATGAAGTTTGGACTCCTAAAATTATTTACCAATGGTTTGAAACGATTAAAAACTGTACAATAAACGTGGGTTATTGCTCATAAAACTGTAAAGATTGAAGTCCGTTAAATTATTTGTCAATCGATCAAAATGACTAAAAACAATGGGTCATAGCTCACGAAATCATAAATTTTATCCACTCTAAAATTATGTGATGATGGGTCGAAACAAGTAAATTGATCAAAATTCATGGATAGTGTATCACAAAGAGGGAGAAGTAAAATGACCAAAATTCATGGGTAGCGTATCACAAAAAGGGATAATGTGGCGCATGCCTCGCACATGGTGGTGGAGGTGGAGAAGGGGATGAGGGAGGGGATTGGGGGTTTCATGGAAACGGCGGTTAAGGCAATGGAACCTAAAGGGAGTTCGGTTCTTAGAAGAGTCTGAGGATACAATGAAGCACTGACTTTTTGATAGCGGTTTTACTCGAGGATGCGTTAGCTATGTCTGTGTTAATGGAAGACTGGTGCATAGGAGAGGATTTTGATTTTGATTTCAATGTTTTGTAAGCTAAGTAATTATGTTCTTGAGGACTGTATCAACGTGTTTAAAAAAAAGGTTCATAATTGTAAAATCATTCTGTGTTCGCAAGCATGCTCTACAAGCAGGGGGTTCGTCGATGGGTGAGCAGAAGAAGATCCTGTAGCCATCCTCCAGATTAGATCAGAGCACTGTTCCTCTCTCTGAGGGTCCAAGTGCTAAACAGGGGGCAATTTTTGGGTGGCTCACAGCTCAGCGGCTCGCAACCACCACCCGCAGCGGATGTGCAGTCATTAGATAACTCGTTCACATCAAAAAATCATGTAACCGTACACTACCAATTTAAAAAACAACACGATGAAAATTTGCGATATCAATGCAAAGAGGAACTAAAGTACCTGCGGAATCATTGAATCAGCATTAAATAAGTAACCGAGCCTATTATCAGCAAAAATAAATAAAATTGCAATGACGCGTGCGCTTCTAAGGATCATGCATTAGCCAATCAGTCACGAGAGAACCAAGTGGATCAGGATTTGATCCCGGCCCGAAAACCTTCAACGTATCACTATTAAACGTGCAAAAGCAACAAAATACGAAAATAGCTATTTCACTTACCGTGCTTTTCCGTCTGTTAATCTTATTGGGCAACCAACAAGAGCCATGGCTAAAACCTTGATGTATCCCAAGTAGGCCTATAAAGAGGCCCATAGAGAGGCAGTAATTATCCTAGAAATGCTAACATCCCCGGGCACGTCACACGAGAGAACTTAGTGAGATGTAGACAACACAACTGGAGAGGTTCAATAAAAGCAAAATAACCATAGATATTCATACCGATATTCTTGGCATTCATTCTTGTACAATACGAGAATGAAAGAGCCCCCAGTATTAAAGAAAAAGACCCATTATCGCCACATAATGACAATTCTTACATGCCAAGTTCATTACGAGACAACGCTTACATGCCAAGTTAATCCAACACCGGCACGCATTGGAAGACATCTATGGAAATATGCGTGCCCCTTAAAGTCTTGATAATTGCACCTGAAATATGAGCAATTCAGCTCATTGATGATACAAGTCGTCTTGGTAGGAGATACACCTAGGAAAGGAAAAGAAGAAAGAAACTAGCGAGTCACAATTGATCGCTAATTGCTAGCGCTGAAAATAAAAAGGTTTTAATATGAAAACATGTTTAATGATACCTAGAAGAGGACTAATAGTTGCCAGATATATATTCAGCTTGCGATAGAATCTGGTCGAGTTCATTTGAAGAAATCCAACTTTAGAGAGAGAGAGAAAAAAAAAATCAGATATATAATGATTTTCTATCTACTCCTATGAATCTTTATTTCCTGAGAATATACGAGTGCCAGTGTTTACCTGCTACTCGAAAACCTTTATATAACCAGCTATCACATATATAATCCCTCGGGCACTCCTTCCTTCTTCTTGAACATCACCTTCTCCTTAGCCTTCTTGAAATCAGTATGGGTTACCTGAAGCAGGTACCAGTTAGCATTGCGACCAAACAAAAGCTATAAATAATTAGAGAAATAAATATGAACAGCATAAAAGCAATGAATGTCAAATTAGAAGCAACCTTAGCTTATGGTATCAACAGATTGTCATCATCTTTACCATCTGGCAAAAACTGATTCACTAATTGAAGCAAAGTTTAAGATGGTAACATGATCTGTCCCCAGATATGACGGTAAAAGCTATGATCTGAATCCAAACAAGTGCCTAGTGTTGCTGACAACTTTAAGAGGAGGGATGAAACGGCTTGTGTGAAAGAGGAAATGGCAACAGCACTCGTAGCGCAACTAAGCTGTCATAAGAAAGGCCAGATCGACCCTAATATAATACTACCTTCCTAGGTTCATATAAAAATTGACCAGGACACTTACAAACATCCCCCTGAAACAAACTACATTTGCGTAAAATGCTACCAAGGAACTACTGCAAAGGAGCAAAAACCTCAGAAAGCGGTGGAGATATTTCATCGTTGACCTAAGATGGCAACAATTTGAGGTTAACGCTAAGTCAACACTTAAAAATGGTTTTTGTCAGAGAAATACCCCTTGAGACTAGACTTTATTCTGGGCCTGGCAAAAGCTATGGGAAACAAGTAAAGGCAAAATGAAACTGCTATACCAACTTTGTCGAGCAATTTAGTGGTAGTTATCAAAATCCATTCAGATATATTTATGAATGAATATACTAATGGCTTACGAAAAGCCAAATTATCATCATCTCCGCATACTGATTAACTGAGTACCACGGTTTTCTAGCGACATGGGATGAAGCACGAAGATTTCCCTCATGGGAATATTAAGGAATGCCTTGCAGATGAAAAAAGAAGTCAGAACATGATCACTATCTAACAAGTAACTAATGCCTGAACGGACACCTGAAGAAAAATGCGAGTTGAAGAAAGAAACTACAAGAGTGACAAAATAATAGTGCAACTTTAGAGATGATGAACCATGCAGACAAGCTCTATTTAACAAATATTCATAAAATGTTTGCATTTAGAAACTATGAATCATGCAGACAATCACTATTTAACAACCGTTCATAAAATGTTTGCATTTAGAGACACAAACCAGACAATCACTATTTAACAAATATTCATAAAATGATTGCATATAGAGACCATGAACAATGCATGTAATCACATTTTCAAATAAGATATGTATATTTCAAAATTTTCTTACAATATTAATTTTTTATGCTGGTTGTTTGTTAAACCTAAAGAAAATAACATAATTTTACACTGAAAACACAGCCTTACCTTCATTCTGCGCTCTCTCAGAGCAAGCAAGCCAGCTTCTGTACAGATCGCCTTGATATCAGCTCCAGAAAACTCATCTTTTGTCATAACGAATTCTTCCAAGTTGACATCATCAGCCAATGTCATTCTGGATGTATGTATCTACATAAAAGATGTGCAAACATTGAGAAACATGCATTAAATAAAGATGCAATAGCAGCAAGAAAACAGTCAAAATAGGACATCTCTATAGTCTAAAGGCTGGAAAGGACTTTATTTGGAAAACTTGGAATACGCTTCCATATGAAACCATGGATCCTAAATATACCCCAGAATATGAATGTACCTGGAAAATGCGTCGTCTTGTTTTAATATCTGGAAGGGGAAATTCTATTTTCCTGTCAATTCGTCCAGGACGAAGCAAGGCTGGATCAAGACTTTCGATTTTGTTTGTTGCGAGAATAACCTTAACATCCCCTCTTGAATCGAAGCCATCTAATTGGTTCAGCAATTCCAACATGGTTCTCTGTATTTCACGCTCTCCTCCTGAATGAGCATCATACCTATATGAAACCCAACAAAACTCTGATCAATGGATGACACAACAAGTTGCATTTCTACCAATAATTTTCACCAAGTTACCTTTTAGTACCAACTGCATCTATTTCATCAATGAAGACTATTGATGGTGAAAGATCATCTGCGACCCTAAATAGTTCCCTCACAAGTTTTGGACCGTCACCCAAGTACTTCTGTATCAGTTCACTTCCCACAACACGTAAGAAAGTTGCTGACGTAGAGTTAGCCACAGCCTGAAAGGAAAACATTAAGACATATCAGACGCCATACTTAACGACGCCATACTTGATGATGTATATAGTGACATTTTGCTTTAAAAGTACTTTTTATGCCATAGGAAATACGGTGCAAGAAAATACATGCATATATGATATATACACGACTCTCTAGGAGTGTTCCTGAATGAAGGAAAAAACATGAAGAAAAAGACATGATTGAATAATTACACATGCACTTGAACCTGCAGTCAGCAAAACTAATGGCTAAAAATTTAGTGACCTACAAGGTTTCTCTTCTCTATGGTCACTTCCAAAGCAGTTCAAAACCTCTGTGAACGATATACTTTAAAGGGGTCCTGTAATCACCCACTAGTTTCTCTAATACAAATGCCCTGTGGAAAAAGTTAAGACCATAATAGAGCACCATGCCAACACAATTACCCATACCTATCAAAATTTTGGATAAGTTGTACAAGGTAGTGAATGCAGCCTCTACATGTGGCAAAGGAGAATAACACAAAATCCAGAAACATCACTAACCTTTGCAAGCAAAGTTTTTCCAGTTCCAGGCTCTCCATATAGTATGACTCCTTTAGGAGGCTTTATACCAATGTCCTCGTATAGCTCGGGATGAGTCAAAGGGAGTTCCACTGCTTCTTTAATTTCTTGAATTTGGGCATCCAGACCACCAATATCAGCATAAGATTCCAAAGGAGCTTTTTCAACTTTCATAACAGAAACCATAGGATCAACATCATCTTGAAGAAGCCCTACAACCGACAGGACCTGCAATAAATGTAACACACAAAGTGAATATGTGCATAACCATGACACGTGTTGATGACACACCACGTGGGCAGTCTATGATTATCTTAAGAATCTCATCAGTGTAACATGCAATATCAAGATTTGGAAGAACTGATCTACCTGACAGGTAAAACAGTAGATAGATATATCTAGCTTCCCTCATATTAAAAGTTATCAGGTGTAAAAAAAACAGAAAATGAACAGAAATGAGTTTGAAACAATAAATGTATTCAACAAGAAAAGACATTTACTTGATAAATTTCTAGTTTACTAGAGTTGATAAACTAAGAATGCTTTATGCTGCGAACTCCAGTGGATGGACCTAACAGATCTGCTATTTAGAATTTTACATACATTTGTGGATAATGGAGAGTTTTGTAAATAAGGTAACTATTATAGTATTATTAGTAATCCTTCTATTATAAAAGTACAGTTTAGTGGATTGATCTCTAACACCACAATTCTCTGATCTCTAGCACACAACAAAATCGGATGACAATGAAAAAGTCATAGTGGGCTGGTGCGCAATCAATCATTAAGCACAAGAAACTTATGTCGCTAGGAAGAGGAAAAGTCTTAACAGTTTTACTAACATCAAACTAAAAAATAATAATTTTCCACTTATGCACGAAACATGGTCACAGCCAACCTCTCTTTCAAAATCCTAATTCACAAGCCCGTCTAATTTCATAAATTCATTTCAGAACCCCAACTCGGCAATAATAGCAACAATCTATAATGAAAACTAAAACAAGAAGTTTGTCAGGGACCACTGCTTCCAGTGATGCGTCAAGGACAAATGCAAACCTGTCAACTATGCCGAGAGCTGCTAACCTGTCAATTGAGGACAGATACACCAACAGATATGCAAGTTGAAGGGTTGTTGTGCAAGATTGGAAGCTAGGGGGGTTTATCTGCAAGTATTTGTAACTACTGGGGTCCTAAATAAATACCCGGCTCAGCCTATCTGTTTTCTGTTTTCAGTTAAGTCTGTTGAGCTCTGTGCACGTGCACGAACGGTGTAAGTTTGTTTTCTTTGTTTTCTTGAAGAGAGAATTGCATTGTATAAATAGTGAGATGTAAAGATCAATCATTATGAATGAAATAAGCTATTTTCTCTCTGAGCTCTTACTCCCTGTTTCCCTATTCTCTCTCAACTCTTTCTCAACTCCTTCTCAATTCTATCTCTAGCAACTCTTCTTGTTCAATTCAGGTTCACAATGGCCAGAGACACAGCCAAGAGGTTCAACAGAGGATTGAGATCCTCACAATTGGTATCAGAGCAATTGGAAGCTAAAGCTGCTGCTGCAAAGGATTCCATGGCGGATCACGAGGAAATTCCTAGGGAAGAGATGACTCAAGATGAAAGGGTTGCTCGAGTGGAGGATGGCCTCACTCAACAGAAATCCTTCATTCGACAACAGGAGTCGTTCAATCAGCAAATAGCTATGCAACTGCGAGAGATCTCTCAACTGCAAGAACTCAAGAATTCCAAAGACATGGACAATGAGACAACAAGCACCGGAGAGAGAAGCGACCCTAGGATTGTGGGTTTAGGATCAAGAGGCGTTCGTAGAATTCTTGGGCCAGGCTACAGGGATCCAGTTCAAGAAATTAGCCATCAACCACAGAAGAGGTTTGATTCCTTTGATGAACATTCATCAACTTATAATTTTGGTAATTCCCTGCCTTAAAAGAATTCTTTCTTCAGTAATCAAAAGTTAGTTCAACCTAAGTCTTTGAGATTGGATTTCCCCTCTTTTTCTAGTAGTGAGAATGTGGTAGCATGGTTAGAACAAATTGAACAAATTTTTTATTATTATGACATCAAGAATGATGAGTGGGTCAATGTTTGTCCATTCTATTTGAGAGATGAAGCTTTACAATGGTATAAATGGCTCACTAGGAATATTGAAGATTACAACCAATGGGATGTGTTTAGAGATGAATTAATCACCCGGTTTGGTCCTAGTGAGCTTTCGAGGCCTTATGATGCTTTTTCTACCATGAAACAAACCTATACAATTAGAGAATATTTAGGGAGGTTTGAACAAACATTGAGCCTTTTAGATGATCAGTCATCCAGGAGACATATTCTTGAAAGATTCATAGGGGGACTTAAAGATGAACTAAGGTATGAAGTGGCAGCAGGTAGGCCATCTTCTTTGAAAGAAGCAATTTCCTTGGCTAAACTGTTTGAGGATAAACAAAAGAATGAGAAAATAAATTCAGGGGGTCCTTCATCAAATTTTGTCCATGATACACATGTAAAGGAAAACTACTGTTACCCTTCTCAATTTAAGAAAATTACCCTTGAAGAAATACAAAGGAGGAGAGGTTAGAACTTGTGTTTTACTTGTGATGAGAAATGGCACAAAGGCCATCAATGCAAGGAGAAGAAATTATTCATACTGGAGGGAATTTTAGAAGGAGGCATGGATAGTAGTATGGATGCTTTTGAGGAAGATCAAACATGTTCTATGGCTTTAGAACTAGCTGAGAGCTTAGTGAAGGGGGCTCCCTCTATTTCAGTGCAAGCCTTGAGTGGAATCATTGTATCCCACACTATTAGAATAGTAGGCTATTACAAAAACCAAGCAGTTGGTATTCTAATAGATTCTGGATCAACACATAACTTCATCAATTCTAAATTGGTTAAAAGGCTGGGGCTGACAATAACTGAATCAAATAATTTTGATGTCTTGGTGGCTAGTGGGAAGTTGATAAAAGGGGTTGGAGTGTGTCAAGAGGTGCCATTAGACTGTCAAGGTGTGAAAATTCAAGTTAATCTGTTGGTCATGCCTATGGGAGTGAGTCAAATTGTGCTAGGAGCTGATTGGATGAAGACCTTGGAAGACATTACATTGAACTTCAGGAAATTGCAGGTTACCTTTGTAAGTGAGGGAATTAAAAGAGTCTTACAAGGAGTCATTCCAGGTGAAATGCAATTGGTTAATGAAAAAACCATTGTTAAATATTTCAGAGAGCAAGAAGAAGGCTATTTGATTCAGTTGTGTAGTATGAACTTACAAGAATCATCAACAAAGGCAAACTCAAAGGAATTACCTGAAGATATGCACCAACTGATACAAGAGTATGAAATAATTTTTCAGGAACTCCCTCATCTCCCTCCTAACAGGAAGATAGATCATAAGATTCATTTAGAGGAATGCACTAAACCTATCTGTATCAGACAATATAGGCATGCACATCTTCTGAAAGAGGAGATTGAAAAACAGATTGAGGAAATGCTTCAAAAATGTGTCATCAGACCAAGCCATAGTCCTTTTTCTTCATCAGTGATCATGGTGAAGAAATCTGATGGTGGCTGGAGGATGTGCATAAACTACAGGTCTTTAAATAAGTCTACAATCAAGGATAAATTTCCTATTCCTGTTATAGATGAGCTACTGGATGAACTCCATGGGACTAAATTTTTCACCAAGCTTGACTTGAAATCTGGTGATAAGAATGTATGAGCCAGATATATCAAAGACTGCCTTCAGGACACATCATGAGCATTTTGAAATTTTTGGTAATGCTTTTTGGTTTAACAAATGCTCCCTCAACTTTTCAGGCTCTTATGAACAACATATTCAAACAATTACTCAGGAAATCTATCTTAGTCTTCTTTGATGACATTTTGATATATAGCAAGAAGTGACAGGATCACCTGATTCATCTGAGGCAAGTGTTTGAGATCATGAAGGCTAACAAACTGGTGGCAAACATGTCAAAATGCAGTTTTGGAAAAACACAAGTGAAGTCTTTGGGGCATATTGTATCACAGGATGGAGTTGGTGTGGATCCTCAAAAAATTAATGCCATTGTTGAGTGGCCCGCACCTAAAACTTTGAAAGGACTAAGAGGTTTTCTTGGACTAGCAGGCTACTATAGAAAATTTATTAAGGGGTTTGGGATGATAGATCAGCCTCTAACAAATCTTTTGAAAAGGAGCTCCTCGCCATCATCCTATCTACAAAAAAATGGCAACAATATTTACTGGGAAGGAGTTTTGTAATTAGAACTGATCATCAAAGTCTCAGATACTTACTTGAGCAAAGAATACACACAGGCATTCAGAATAAGTGGCTTGCCAAGTTGCATGGATATGACTACACTGTGGAGTATAAACCTGGAAGATTAAATAGGACTGTTGATGGGTTATCTAGGATCTATGAAGGTGAAGAAGTTTCAAAAGAGACCCTTGAAGTTTTAGCTATTTCTACTATCCACAATGATTGGTTAGGAGTTAAGCTCATGTGTTCCACAGATATATTCTTCAAAGAGTTGGATGACAAGTTACAAACAGGACAATTACCAGCTGGAGACTATTGCAAGAAGGGGTGTACTATTACAAAGGCAAAATTTTTATCAGTCCTAATGCCCAGCACCTAAAAACTTCTCTACTCAAGGAACACCATGATAGCCCTTCTGCGGGTCATTCTCGAATTACAAGGACACTGCAGACTAAGGAGAGCTTTTTATTAGAAGGGAATGAAGAGAGAAGTTCAAAGGTATGTTCAAGCCTGTGATGTTTGCCAAAAAGCTAAAGGAGAGAATGTTGCATCCTCTGGGCTCCTACAGCCCCTGCATATTCTGGGAAGATTTGTCAATGGATTTTATTACTAGTCTGCCTAAGAGTGAAAACAAATCTGCCATTCTTGTGGTGGTTGATAGATTGACAAAATATGCTCACTTTTTTGCACTCTCACCCATATACTGCTCAGTCGATGGCTTAAGTATTTTTTGAAGGGGTATTTAAGCTTCATGGTATGCCTAAGTCTATTGTAAGTGACAGAGATCCCTTGTTTACAAGTTCATTTTGAAGAGAGTTGTTCAAGTTGCAGGGAAGTCAACTTCAATTTAGTTCTTCCTATCACCCTCAAATTGATGGGCAAACTGAGATAACAAATAAAAATCTAGAGGCCTAAGGTGTTTTTGTTGCCACAAGCCTAAAGAGTAGTGTCAGTGGCTGCCTCTTACAGAATTCTAGTACAATACCACTTGGAAGGTGTCTACTCAAACTACTCCCTTTGAGGCTGTGTATGGAAGACCTCCTTCTTTGTTGTCCTACATTCCTAAAAGTTATAAGGTGCAAGCAGTTGATGAGGTCCTTTTCTCTAGAGATATAGCCTTGCAATTTCTGAAGGATAGCTTAAAGGGTGCAGCTGATAAAATGAAGAAGTTTGATGACTTGCACTGGAGTAATCGGAGCTTCAACGTGGGCGACTGGGTATTCCTTAAACTTCAACCCTATAGACAGATTAGTGTCTCCTCGCACAAGCCCCATAAACTATCTCCTAAGTACTATAGGCCTTATCAAATTCTGGAAAAAATAGGAGAAGTTGCTTACAAGGTGGCTCTTCCAGAACAAGCTAAAATCCACACAGTTTTCCATATTTTCCAACTGAAATGGAGAATTTGAGCTGATGTTATTCTTCAGGTTGATTTTCCTACCTATGTGGAGGAGATAGTAGATGAACCAGAGAAGATTTTGGACAGAAGATCAATCGTGAAGGGAAATAGATTAATATCACAGGTCCTCATCAAATGGAAGCAGCGTGCACACTTGGATTCTACCTGGGAGTCTTATTGGGATTTGGTTAAAAGGTTTCCCACATTTGACCTTGAGGCAAGGTCCAATTTAAGGGGAGGGAATTTATCAGGGGCCACTGCTTCCAGTGCTGCGTCAAGGACAAATGCAAACCCGTCAACTATGCCGAGAGCTGCTAACCTGTCAATTGAGGACAAATACACCAACGGATATGCAAGTTGAAGGGTTATTGTGCAAGATTGGAAGTTGGGGGGGTTTATCTGCAAGTATTTGTAACTTCTGGGGTCCTAAATAAATACCCAGGTCAGCCTAACTATTTTATGTTTTCGGTTAAGTCTGTTGAGCTCTGTGCACGTGCACGAACAGTGTACGTTTGTTTTCTTTGTTATCTTGAAGAGAGAATTGCATTGTATAAATAGTGAGATGTAAAGATCAATCATTATGAATGAAATAAGCTGTTTTCTCTTTGAGCTCTTACTCCATGTTCCCCAATTCTCTCTCAACTCTTTCTCAATTCTATCTCTAGCAACTCTTCTTGTACAATTCAGGTTCACAATGGCCAGAGACACAGCCAAGAGGTTCAACAGAGGATTGAGATCCTCACAAAGTTCCACTTCATCCCATGGTTCACCAATTTTGCCCAATCAAGCGAGCAAACACTGTAAATCCCCTTCACCAGAAAAAAAAAGAAAAAAGAAAAGTTTTGACCTATTCAGAAGAAAAAAAAGTTCTTCATAAACACAATCCATTAACATTGTAAGAGTATTTTCATTCACAAAATGCATTCCTCATCTTCCCGGAAGAAACCAATCCAAACTAATCAACTAAAATAAACACCTAAGCATCTAATACACCTTAAGATGTACTTCACTTTGAAGTCATTTACCATGAAAATAGAAATTAAATGCACCAGTTTTTAACCCGCCAATTTGTCATTTATCCCAGATTAGGTACATGAAACCTCTACTGCCAGGGAAAAGTCCAGTAAGAAATCAGGATTACTTAAGTTGACCAGGATTGATGAGGGTTTACCCCCGAATTAAAATAAATGAGGGAGGGAGGTTTTCTAAAATTAAGAAATCTGTCTAAACCCAGCAAACAGAAGTAACAGAACAGGCATTTAGAGAAACAAATGCGCAAAATTCCTATAGGGCTCCAAAATAAACCCTAATTTTCTTGTACTATCAGGCACAGTTCGTTGTCTAAAGAACAAAAAAGCCCCAGATCTGCAAACAAATATCACGGTGTTGTTACCTTGTTATGCATCAAGATGGCACATCCAGGCTCCAGCTGATCCTTATCCACAAACGACAATATGCTCACATAGTACTCCGGCCCCACCGACGACGAAACAATCGCGTGATTCTCGTCGATCAACTCCTCCAGATTCCCAACGCTCATCGGCGACCCCCTCAGGTCGTCAACCTTCGATCGATCCTCCTCGGACTTCTCTTCGTGGGGCTTCAGCCTCTCTTGGTTCGCGACGAACTCCTCCTCCATCAGGAGATAGTCCTTGATCCGCTCGAGCTTGAGGAGCCTGAGCTTGCACTTGGTCACCGGGGTGACGACGGGGAGCCTGGCCTTGCGGCCCACGCGGGAAGGAGGGGCCGAGGGCTCGAACTTCTTCTCCTTTTTGTCGCCGCCGTCGTTCTTGCGGTCGCCGGGGAGGTTGTGCTTGTTGAGGCCGCCGGGGGTTCCTTGGCCCATGCTGATCGGAGACGCGTCTAGGGTTTCGAGAGATCGATAGAGGTGGGGTTTGCTTTTTAGGGCTTCGATCGAGAGAAGGGGGCAAAGCGGAGAGAGGGAGGCTAGCACCGACGTATTTTATAAATGTTTATCTGGGCCCTAAGTACGTATGGGCTCAGTTGCAGCCCAAGCTGAGGGGCCTAATAAGGTGCATTTTAATTACCGTTACATCTTCTTATTTAAGCACGAAAATAAAAAAATAAAACAATGGTTTCTTGTAAAACGGGGTAGATATGAAGGGGTTTCTTGTAATTCAACCTTGTTCTTTTTTTATGGGAGGTAGGAATCTATAAACAGTCTAAACGTTCCCTACCTAGTCCACAATATTACCTCATTTTGTTGCACCAATGAATTATCAAAGATAAGAGTCGGAAACAAATAAGAAAAAAGAAAAAAAGTCTGATACCTTTGAAAGTGAAGAAAGATGAGAAAACTGCTTGAGTTCGCCTACCGTTGAATGGCATACGTGTGATAAATTAGCAGACAAAGGATGTTGCACTTGTTTCTTTTCCTTATTTTCTCACATTTACAGAGGCAAGTACAAGTTAGAACTCAGCATCACTGTCTGACACATAGTGCATAATTTCTGCATTCTGCATCTTCGCTTGATCAAAAAGAAGAAAAAGAAAAGAAAAAAGAAAATTTCTATAAAATGGCGAGAATTTTAATGATACTAATCTTATTGTTTAGGCAAACGAAATCAGCTAGAGACATAACTACAGGCCTTATGCAGGTCCACGGCTCGTCATGGATGGCGCCCATCCCTGAATTTTGAAGTATGCAGCCGCCCTCCATTATAGTTGCCGAAATTCCTTTGCGCAATCATTCAAATTCCTTTGACAGAGCTAAAGAGCTGTGAGTGAAGTGGATGCCCAAAGTTTTGAACTTCAGCAATTCTATGTGACCAAACAGAAGCATACGTATCTACTGCAATGCCTGCTTCATGATGGATCTATAAGAAAGTTGCTGCTCATAAAGCGACCTGAAAACTTGATACTTCGCGTCATGATATTTCTTTACCCTTGGGTCTTTAGATGGACGAACAACCTGCCAAATCAAAGGATTAAAGACTTTTTGTCCCTAAAGAAACAATTTGCTTAATAAGAAACGCGACTGCTAGGCCTAAATATATAGCACCAAGTACTTAATCATATAACCTGTCCTGCTGCATTTAGTGCTTTCATGGCCTCGTGAAGGCTAGGATACTTCTTGGCAGCAACAGCGCCAAGTATAGCAGCCCCCAAGAGCACAGATTCATTCTCTCTCGGGAGAATTATGGTGCAACCTGTATGAAACAGTAACTTCAGAGTACGCTTTGAGTGCAAATAGACAGGAAAGGGAGGAGACTTACCAACAATATCTGCATGTTCTTGTACATATACAGGGTTTTTTGATAACCCACCACACGCCAGAAGTGTGTCAATCTGCAGATAAAGAAAATACCGCTAAATGCAAACTACAATACTTGCAACAATTCAAAGTGTAAGTATATTTTTATGTCAACAAATGTCAAAGTCCCCGAGCTTATGATATCATGATGGAGTACTAACAAAGTGAACAAAAGCTGATAAAACTTCAGAAGCAGGTTTTTAGCAGGGGTGTGTGTGAACATAGAATCTACATCTCCAACGGAGACATATTAGATTTGAATGAACCAGATATTAGTACGAATGAACAAGGGAAGTACCTCGTGCCCATGAGAGTTGCAGTGCTCAAGGATGTGGCGTGTACCATAGGCAATGCCCTGAATTGTTGCAAGGTATTGAAGGGCCAACTGCTTCTCACTTGTATCAAGTGTTAGACCACAAATCATGCCCTTGGATTTTGGATCTGCAACCGGTGATCTGATCCAAATTCAAGGCTTAAATATCATAGACAAACTGGCAGGCTAAGCAAATAAATGAGAATAAATGACACTAAAGAGGAGTGTGTGAAGAGAATCTTGCTGAAACGGGTATAGCTAAGGGTTTGATTCCTGCAAGGAACACTAGGAGGGGCTGTTATCTCACATTATGATATATGTGCTTACACATGTATACACAACTATGAACGACGACAGATTAGTGGGATGTTAAGGTGGGAATTAGGTCTGTTCCAGTAGTGTATATGCCAAATGATCTGGTGTTTCACATACTAGTCTTATGCTTGTGTTAGAATAATGTAAACTTTCTGGCATGAATCTTTCCCTGCGTCTACTTTGACTTTTACACTGGTTTTGGCAAAGACATTTTATAACGAGACTTTTCGGTTCAGG